GCAATAAGTTTTTGCATAGATGCTTGACGCTTGATGATCGCATGTAATGATACCTTTACTTAGTGAAAAATCTACCTGCATATGCGCAGTTCGATTTTTCATTTAATAATTGTTACGTTCAGTAGACTCAACAGTTGAGTGACTGCTCGCTGCTATTGACGTATTCTTCTAGATCTAAAATCTAACTGGAAGATGTAAAAGTATACACGTACAATGGGTGCCTCCAGAAGCATATGACCGCTCAGTGAGTCTATCTTCTTGGCATTTGGAGAGTGATAAAGATAGAATGACACTTGTGTCGACTTGTGCCATCACGCATTTACCTTACTCTTTATAGGGGGATGATCCCGGTTGACCACGGCTCGATTGGACACCACTAATCACAGCGACCGGTGCTTAGGAGGTTTGTAGTCTCAAGCGCTGTGAGTGACTCGTGTCCAATTGAGCCGTGTCCAACTGGGTGCCACTCTTTATAGGTTCGTCAAGACGGAAGATCAAAGAAATTTCGTCGAATGCTCCGTCCAGTGCTATATGTCGATGGTTGAGTTCGCCGAACGCAGCCATTGGGTGCATTCAGTGGACTCAACAGTTGAGTGAGCGCTCACTGTTATTGGTGTATTCTTCTAAATCTAAAATTCTGATTGGATGAGCTAAAAGAATACACCAATAACAGCGAGCGCTCACTCAACTATTGAGTCCGCTGAATGCGCCCATTGGGTGTATTCAGTGGATGCGTTTAGCAAACTCTACAGTTGAGTGAGCGTTCACTGTTATTAGTGTATTCTTTTAGATCATCCAATCAGCATTTTAGATCTGAAAAAATACATCCATAGCACTCACTCAACTGTTGAGTGCGCTGAACGCAGTCGGTATTACAATCGCTCACTGAGCGGTCATATGCTTCTGGAGGCACCCATTGTACGTGTATACTTTTAGATCATCCAGTTAGATTTTAGATCTAGAAGAATACGTCAATAGCAGCGAGCAGTCACTCAACTGTT